TCAATAGCCACATATGGCTAGTGCACTCAAATACCTTCAAAAACTATAGCTCACTCAGTGAGCAGAGCTTGACCTTAAAACCCACAGGGGCATATGAAGAGGATGACCATTGCTTCGGGAATCATCAATTATTCTAGTTTTTCTTAAGGGAATGGTCAATCCAGTGGGCTGGGAACATGAAAAATGACAGGGAAGAACACATAACATCTTGAGAGGGTTCTTGAACAACAACACAACTACATAGGCACAGAAAAAAAAAACTTTTCAGGCAGGCCTACAACCTGAGAGATTGGAATAATACATTTCAATTGGGATAGTGACAGACAGGTGTGTAGAGAGTTAACATCTTGTGATATGTTCTGCTAAGAGGACGGTCATGACCTCTAGCCACAGCCAGAAGAGACATGGTGCCAGTACCATGCGGGGCATGCTGCACACAGTATTTCTCAGCATGACAACACCAGCTGATAGAAACTGCTGTATCCTTGAACTCAAGGGAGTATGCGGCTGTGAGAAACTGCTGCGTCCTTGGGCTCAGGGGAGTGTGCAGTACAGTCTAGTCAAATAAAATTTCAGGAGTTCTACCCCGGGAACTCCCCCTCCTTTATCCCTGCTCGCTTACTTTTCCCACAGCCTTCATAATAAATATCCATTGGACTTTGGCTTTTGGCCTTCACTAGCTTAGTGAACAGTCGCTCTCCTAGTCCCTCGGTTAAAACTGCCATTATCTCTGAGTAGTTCATTACCGTCTCCACTTCAACCTTTGTCACACAGGTCTTGTACCTGTCTTGACATATTTCCCCAAATTCTCCATTATAGGACTAATACAATACCATTTCCAATTCTTTGTGATAACTTCTGTATCTAATGAGATCATGATTAAGAATATTATAGGTTTGGGTTATAGTATATAACATATTTGTGACTTGGTTATTTGATTTGGCTGTCAGTGCCTCTGCTTTGCTATTTTAAAATGAAGATGAAATCTGTCTTACAAGACTATTACATAAGAAAACCCTTGGAAAGCACTTAACATAAATTTAAGTGAACTTTCAATATATCTTAGGCATTATTTCTCTCTTCTTTCTTTCACTCTTTACTTACTTTCTTTTGTCTCATACAACACCCTCAAATTTTAGGCATTTAGTTAATCATTGCATCTGTTATCAGGTCTTCCTCAGCTCTTTCCTAATGCTATTCTTACAACCATTTCAGAATAGCTTATTGTCCAATTCAAGCCAAATCATGAGATAAACAGCCTGATTTATTTGTTTTGCAAAAAATACCTGCAGCAGCTTGGGGTAGGGGGTTGGGACAGGATAACTCCTATATGAAAAGGCAGCATTCAAAAACTGTAAACATAAATCCAACATTATTAAAATGAATTTTTGTACATCCAAGGATGTCACTAACGTTTAAAAACACGTTAAGTTACAAGATAACAGAATATATTTGCCACATGCTGAGAAAGGGTTAAAAACCAAAATATGAGGCTACTTTAAAAAGTTTATGGAAAAATAAGATTGAAAGATAATGTGAATTTTTCCATGAACTTTTTGAAGTACCCTCGAATATAAAGGATACTTACAAATCATAAAAAAAAACCAGGAAATGAAAAAAATGGGCAAAGAATATGAATAGGCCATTCCTAGAAAAGGGGAAAAACACCAACTAGCCAAAAAAAAAAGGGGGGGGGGGAGGCAGCTTAATTATAATCAGAGAACTTAAATACACGATGAAATGCCATTTAACAGATCCTTACACTGGCAAGAATTTTAGTCTGACATTAGAAAGGTTTGAAGAGATGGAGTAACAAGAGCTCTCAAACACTACTGGTGTAATATAGAAGTGTATAATAAAATGTCTAACCTGGTAAGCAAATTGTCCATTTCTATTTATGTTGAATATGTGCATACCCTATTTTCCAGCAATTCCACTCCTAGTACGTAACTAGAGAACACACAGTTGTGTACAACAATGCCCATTGCAGCGTTG